ACATTTGCATCAAGTTTCCTCTGGAGAATTGGTGTGAATGATACGTATTGCCAAGAATTGTGGAGTTAGACTTGAGCCTTTAGGTATTAACTTAATCTACAATATTGGAAATGGGGAGGAGAGGATTGCCAAGCCATAATGCAGTTCAGAACATTTCAGTTTTCAATTGCACCAGAGCTGTTCAACAATTGAGAACTATTCCATGGATCTCCTGCAACAAGAAGCCGTGAGGCAACTAGAGAAGCAGTTCACTGTTGTAAGAGAGCAGATTTTGGCAGAAACGATGAAACAAATTCAGCAGGAAAAAACCACTGGGCATGAGGGAGACTTGAACAAAGAAGACAGGGAGCTTGCCACAAAAAAAAAAAAAAAGAAAAAAGAAAAAAAAAGTGTATCAGGCATGGATTATTTGAGGAAAACCAGATGAAGAAAAATTGGATGATCCAAAAGTTATTTATGACATAGAGGTGTTTTCCATAAAGAAAGTGTGATTGTATCCCTGGGACACAAAGTCAACTGATGAGTTCTCATATAAGACACAGGCTAGAAGCATTTCTCTCGGTATTTCAGATGGTTGCAGGGGCTGAAGGACTCAAAGCATTCTCAGCTGTTTTTCCAGTCCATTAAGAAGGAAGCTGGATCAGAAGCGGAATAGTTGGCACTAGAACCTGTGGCCATATGGGATGTCAGCACTGTGGGTGGAGGATAGGAAAAGGCAGGAGTCACTCTGTTTGGGCATGTGCATGGCATAGTTCCCAAAGGGGTTTAGTTAAATGTATTACATAATGTATTGTAAAAAATAATAATTCTTACTAGCATTTGTCTCTTTTCAGTCGACTGCATCAACTCTATTGAAATGTTTTAGTTGGTTTGTGATGGAAGAGACTGTCCTCCTGAGGGATGGAAGACTGGGAAGACCTTTGCAGTAGAGTGAGTTGTGGTGTTTTTCTTTAGTGATCTGGACAAGAGAAAAATCCTTGTGGCAACATTGGCCTCTATTCGGGTTCCACAGGGCCTTTGAAAAAGTGGCCTAATGATGGGCAGCTACTGATCCTCTGTTAAACTCCATTGGTTCAGATTACAAAAATGTATTGTGTGAGAAGTAATCTATTGCAGTAACTTATCTGAAACCAAATTGAAATAAAAAATACATGAAAGATGACAAAAGGTACAGAGGTTCTTTTTGATTGATTGTAACTTTGGCATTAACACTGTGAAAAGAAAGTAATTTGTATAAGAGGTACAGTTGGAAGTTGTCATTGCAATGTTACTTGTAGGCTGGTACACAGCCATCAGAAAATTCTGCTGTGTCATTTCCTCCTTGTCCAGACTGGACTCTGAGAGCAGTGGAAATGCTACAGGTGTTATCAGAAAGGAGGATGATGTTAATGAGTAACTGCAATAGCACAGTGACATAAGCAGCTTTGGAAAAGACTGAATTTCACCATAGAGTAATAGAATCCCAGCCCATTTTAGCCCACCTCTATTTTGAAATAAGCTTATGCACAAGTGTCTTCCAAGAGAGTAAGGTCGGAGCTCATCAACTTTGAATTCAGTTATTCACCCAACCAGATTTAGGGGGAAGATACAAATCAACTTGCCCAATGGCATGATTCTGTCAATGCCATGCCAGGACTAAAGGGAAAGGTGGTTTGGTTTGTCATCGAGAGTTTTATCTAATTTACACTGAGTGAGCATTGTGATTGTATTCCAGCATATGAGCATGAAAACAAGCAAGTAATGAGAATATTCTACTTACGTCTTGTTTCAGTAACTCATTATTTAATCTCTTCTCATCATTTTCTCATTTGTCATATAGAATGTATTTACCTATGTGATTTTTAGATCTCCTTAGAACTTCAGATGTTGTATAATTTGGCATTTGATCTATATTCTATGCAGATCTCATGAAAAGGAAGTGGGAACCTTGGGACCAATGCTCAGCTGCCTAAGTGATTCCAACAGTGTGACAACATTAGTTACATCAGGGGGAAATCTTAAAAATGAGCAATAACTTTATACTCATTCAACGCAAAATAAACTTAGCACATATATTACAGAAAATGCAGAAATAAAACAAAATTCTTTGTATTTGCTTTAAAGTCATTGGGAAAAGGATAAAGAAAACAATTACTTTTCCAATACACAGTCATACATTATTGTCAGAATTAGCGTATTTATTTCTGTTGTAATTATTTGTGCAGTTGAAGTCCCAACTTACCTGATTTCTGACTAGCTTCCTACTAATGCAATCTTTGGGAGCTTCAGATTCAGATGCACAGCAATAAGTGAGATATTTAGTTGGCTAGACTTTTTGATTTGGACTAGCTAGCTTAATCTTGCTTAGAGGAAGTCTGTTCTGTTGGATCTATGTGTATTCTTTAAAATGACATTCGGTTTATAATCTATCAAATTAGTGCTTAAAAGTGGCCTATAATTTGATCCTTTACCAATCCAATGTGCAGATTATACTGTACTTTAATGATGCAAAAAATTTGTATTCAAGACAAAATATGCTTTGAATTTTACTTTGAATAATGACCTTTCCTGGGACACATGGTGTATCACATTAATTTTCTAATGATGCTGGATAAAGGCATCCAGCCACAGCTTCAACTCAGTCTATTACTAAGAGAGTATGTAACCAAGACACATTACTAAACTGTAACATTTTGCTTGTTTATTAGTCCAATTGTGTTACTTTAACCAAATACCAATAAGAAGATTTTACTCTGGAGTTTATAGTAGCCGCCATGGTATATGTGAAAGAATGACCATGTGGTGAGCAAAGAAGCAGAGAGAAAACCATTAATTCAAATGTAAACCCTAGTTAACCCTCTTGTAAAAGGGCAGGCTTCCAGTAAGCTAAATACCTTCCATCATGCCCACCTCTTAGGCAACATAATTAAATAAAATGTACATAGTTAATCCATCAACTATTAGTATTAAGTCATCAGAGTTTAAACAGCTGTATGAATTTTGGGGACAAAAATTCCTGTGTAATGTATGCAAATATATTAAGTATATTAAATACACTTTCCACTTACAATGATTTCAACCAATAATGTGTTTACTGAGATGTAATCCCATCATCAATTTGTGAGTATTTGCAATTGTAAGTCTATTATTGATTGAATTGAGAAATCTAATGTTTAACATGGTTGATTAGCTTTTCAATCCATGATTCATTCAGATTTTGCATTCATTGTCTTTTGCTGCTAACTTCCTTAATGTAGAAAAATAACAACGTATGAAAACATTCTGTTTCATATATAAAACATTGCAAGACAAGAGTATGGAGCCCAGAGAGATGGGCAAACAAATGAAAACAATGAAGTCCAAATAAAGAGTTATAAATTAGTCATAAGTCCTGATCAGTGAAACTTAGTTTGGGAATAGGATCAATTATTATAAAGAGACCCAAGCTGAGAGTCAGAATAAAATGTAATTAGAATTGAGAAAAATACTGTGACATTTAGTACATAAACAACTTCCTCACCCCAATTTAACTCCATTTAGCTGCAACTGCACCACAAACAAAACCACCAGGTCCCTTCTACTCATAGCCTCCATTTCAACTTTCTGAGATCAGTCAATCCCCACCAGCAGAGAAGCTATCAGATTCCTGTCTTTTTCTCAAGCTCAACTGTTTTTGTTCTTCTCTGGGCTAAATTAATAAAGGTGTGAACAAGAAAAAAAAAAAGAAAAAAATATGTTTATTCAAATGCATGGTAAAAAAATTCATTCGGTTTCCTCTTTGCCTTTCCACCACATTATCACAGCAGTTCAACTGGAGGTAAGTGCAAACTAGAGCCCACACAAAAGAAAAGAAAATATGATAGAATCTTCTTCCATAAAGACACAGTCTTTTTTTTTCTTTCACCCTTTTTAAGATTTATTTATTTTCATCGGAGAGGCAGATTCACAAAGGAAAGACAGAGAAGTAGCTTCCATCTGCTGGTTCACTTCCCAAATGGCTGCAAAGGCTGGAGCTCAGCCGAGACAAAGCCAGGAGCCAGGGACTTCTAAGTACCTCTCCTGGGTGCAAGGTACCAAGGCTTTGGCCATCCTTCTTTGTTTCTTAGGCCACAATCAGGAAGCTGGATTGGAAGTGACGTGGCCAGAACGACAACCAGCACCAACATGGGATGCCATGCTTGAAAGTGGAAGATTAGCCAGTTGAGCCATTTGGCAAGGCTCTACTGTCACAGTCTTAGCACAGAGATTGTACTGAGATAGCACAGTCAGAATTAAAACTATCGATTAGACATTGTTCAGCTGAAGCATAGAATAGTGATTTCATGTTGGGAGAAGCCAGATGAAACTAAAATATAGATAGTGTTCCAGCAGGGATGCTGCTTATAGATTTGTGCCTTGTCCTTGACCCAAGCCACATGTAATTCCCACAGTGGGAAAACCTATGAAAACATGAAACAATTTAATACTTGCATAGGACTAGAGGAATAAAAACTTGAACTATACTGAAGGGACAAAAGATGAAATTTCATAGGAATTATTTCTGGTGTAATAACCTGCTAAAAAAGGTGTGAAATGGTAATAAAGATACAGTGAAAAAATGAGTTGTGAAGCTTGAACTGTGAATCATATATACGTGAGTTACATTTCATGAAAGCTTTTATGCACATGCACACACAAGATCCCTTGAATCACATTTTAAAAGAAATGTGGATTAGCTGTTTAATTAATTGCAGCCTTGATTCAGCAAGACTGCAGATCAGATCATGTCTTTCTTGATATTGCTCTTGGCATTAATTATAAAAGCTCATTTGTGAAATTATTGACACACAAATCATCTTATTTTTTTTTTTCAAAATGCCATCCAGGTGCACGAACTGTGATTGTTTATCTGGTGGATTTACTTTGACCAGCACCAGTTACAAATTAACTACTTGATTAGTTTTTGCATTACTCATGCATATAAGTATGTGTAGTGAAATAAAGGAACAGCAACTGGAGACCGTGCCCTGGCTATGAACAGGATGTGTGTGAAGCGTGTGTCTGTTTTGCTGCTGCTGCTACAACTGAGTTCTTTCTTCAGTTCTGGGAGCTGTGGAAAGGTGCTGGTATGGCCTCTGGAGTACAGTCACTGGTTTAATTTAAAGATAATCCTAGGTGAACTTGTGCAGCGAGGACATGAAGTAACTGTGCTGAGGTCTTCAGCTTCTGTTTTAATCGATCCCAACAATGAATCTGGAATTAAATTTGAAACTTTTCCTACATCTTCCACTAAAGATGAAATGGAAGCTTCGTTTGTGAATTCAGTTAATACTGTGATATATGATGTGTCAAGAGATGCATATTGGGAGTATTTTTCACTACTGCAAGAAATATTTTCAGATTATTCTAATATCTATGAAACTCTTTGCAAAGACGTGGTTTTCAACAAGAAACTCATGGCAAAACTTCAGGCTTCAAAGTTCGATATTGTTCTTGCAGATGCCCTGGCCCCCTGTGGGGAGCTGCTGGCTGAGCTGCTGCACATCCCCCTTGTGTACAGTCTCCGCTTCACTCCTGGCTACACGTATGAGAAGTACAGTGGAGGACTTCTGTTTCCTCCATCCTATGTGCCTGTTATTATGTCAGTTTTAAGTGGTAAAATGACATTTATGGAGAGGGTGAAAAATATGCTGTTCATGCTTTATTTTGACTTTTGGTTCCAGACATTTAATGAGAAGAGGTGGGATCAGTTTTGCAGTGAAGCTCTAGGTAAGTCTTTTTACTGGTTTATGTGAACTCCTAACCACCCTGTGACTTTACAGGTGAGTTTGTATGAATGTAAGACCCTGGAAACCTGTGTTTTGTAGATTAAGCAATACATGAAAATATGTTAATTCATTAATCTCACAAATGTTGTGAAACCTTATATTGGAAGATCAGTCAGAAACCTTGCCTATCACTACGATAGGACAATCTATAGCAACTCATGTAGCTACAAAACTACTTAAGTTATCTGTAACTAATGACTTTCCCACCTTTCTCTTTTTATATTATAAAAAGTTGACGGAAACTTTTCTAACATCTTGATGAATAAAAATGTGTAGATTGACTTGTAGCATGTGTGTTTAGTGCAATGATTCATGGACCTTAGGAAAATTATTTGTGCTTGTAGAGATCTACTTTCTTATTTAAAATTGAAGCTTCTAAAAAAAATATTATCTAAAGTGATTCTAAAGTCTGTAAGATACAGAATTATTTGTAGACACAGAAATGTACAAATTGTAGTTTATAAGGTTGCCACATTTTTTTCTCTCAGTCAGTCCTCAAAATAGTTTGTGTGAGGCTTATGTTGTTGAAAAGTACACATGTATATGATCCTTCTCTATTTTTAAATGGCTTTTCCATTTTTTTTTAACGATTTATTTTATTTTTATTAGAAAGGCAGATATACAGAGAGGAGAGACAGAGAGGAAGATCTTCCGCCCAATGATTCACTCCCCAAGTGAGCGCAACGGCCAATACTATGCCGATCCTGAAGCCAGGAGCCTCTTCCGGGTCTCCCACGCGGGTGCAGGGTCCCAAAGCTTTGGGCCGTCCTCGTCTGCTTTCCCAGGCCACAGGCAGGGAGCTGGATGGGAAGCGGGGCTGCCGGGATTAGAACCGGTGCCCATATGGGATCCCGGGCGTGCAAGGCGAGGACCTTAACCACTGTGCCACCGCGCTGGGCCGGCTTTTCCATTTTTAATAAAAGAGATGCAAAAATGGTTAGTAAAAATCTCTACTTCCACAAATTAAATCGTTTGGATATTTTTGGAAATGTTTCTGTACATAAATATTTATGTATGTAAGTATCTTAAATCCCACAGAAGAATAAAAATTGATATCACGTGAAGTGAATATAACCATCCCTGGGGTTCTGAAGCTCTTTGTAAATTCTGGATAATAATCCCCTATCAGTTGTGTAGTGTGTAAAGATGTTTTCTCATTCTGCTGGTTGCTTTGCCACTTTGTTAATTGTTTCCTTTGCTGTACGGAAGATTTTTAGTGTGATGTAGTCCTGTTTGTTTATTTTGTGTTTAATTGTCTGTGCTTTTTGTGTCTTCTCCAAGAAGTCTTTCCCTATTTCTATGTCTTTCTATGCTTTCCTCTAATAGTTTGATGGTTTCTGGTTGTAGATTTCAGTCCTTGATCCATTTAGATCAAGGATTTTTGTATAATGCTACAGGTGTGGGTCTTGCTTCTTAATTCTGCAAGCTGCTATCCAATTGTTCCATCAGCATTTGTTGAAGATAACAAGGCAGTATGTATCTTTACTTCCAAATCAAAGATAGACTCCCAATGAAATTGTTGGACATATCTGACAATGGAATCCTGAACTGTCTAATATTGTCAGTAGCAGCAATGTTGGGGCATACCTAAGTAACAGACTGATGGATTTATGACTGCTTATGAAGGACTATAGCATTGTAATAATATGGGAAAAATCAATAGGGGTGGGAATTTGGGTAGGGGGCAGGGAGAATTCCAGACCCTATGGAATTGCACCATAAAATTCTAAATTAAAAAAAATGTAAAAAAGTGATTATGACCAAAATGAAAGTGAATTTAAAGTTTTCATGGAAAATGATCAGAGACCAAAATGCTAACTTATAAAAAAATAGACTGAATTCTGTTGGGGTTCAATGAATCTGAGTGAGACTCCAAGGCAAATGAAATTATTTTAATTTCTAGTCCAAAGGCAACTTCTTGCAAGCAAGAAGTGCCTCAGATGAAATGTGTGTAGTTTTTACAATAATTATTTATCAGAGAATCAAAAGTTATGTGACAGTGAGCAAGTACATGATTAGGGGCTAGCAGTGACACAAAACAGAAAGCATGCAATAGAAATTTACAATGCATAGGCCTGGGGTCCTGATTATAACACCTCAATGTAGACAGTAATAAAACAGCATGCCTCAAAGGTAGCTGTCTTTCCTGTAAATCTCAAAACTTCAAGATTCTCCCTATCTCCTACCTGCCTCCTGGTGTTTCAGGAAGCAGGAGCTTTTGCTCCTCACAGGATGCAGGTGTCTCTTTGGAGATTCCAGACTTCCAGGAACACAGTCACCTTTACAATTAGCCCTTTCAAATTCTTCAGGAAAAGCTCTGTTTATGATTTTGGTAGGATTTCCTTACTCTGGAAATGAAATTATTCTGTTTACATTTGCTAGTTTTGCAACTTCAGAGATCATTAAAAAGACATGTTTAAATCTATAGTTCTGTATATCAATGACAATGTGACAATACGGAGTTGACATTAGAAATATTCTTTTGCATGTATCTATAAAGTAAATGCTGCATAAACTATGTATATAAATAAGCATTTTTGTTTTATCAGTGTCCAGATACTTCTTACATCATTGGTTGCATAATTCAAATACATCTCAGAAAATCATGCACCATACTACTTGTCATGATTCCCTCATTATCTTCCCCTCTCTTCATGGTTTCTCCTTGCAGGAAGACCTGTTAGATTTGCTGAGCTAATGGGCAAAGCTGATATGTGGCTCATTCGAAGCTATTGGGATATAGAGTTTCCTCGCCCACTCTTACCAAACGTTAAATTTGTTGGGGGTCTCCACTGTAAGCCTGCCAAACCTCTGCCTAAGGTAAAAATGACACTGCTTTGCTTATTTCACTTAGCACTCTCAGTGGAAATGACTCTGTATTTTTCCTTCAACTCATTTGACTCCTAGTAATAGATACTAGAATTAGGATAAAATATCCTGCCAACCAGAAGGTGACAACAGAGAATCCCACAATGAACACAGAAAATTTGAATTAGAAAATAATGCCAGTCTCTAGGAAATGAAGTTGTCTTGTATATTTGCAAACCATCACAAGTATCCAGATTTCATTGTCATTATAAAATAACAGAATATCTAGAAAATGTTGATAATATAGTCAGTTACATTAAGATCTCCATTATTCAAAATATAAAAAATTATTGCTATTAAATCAGTGTATATTTATGGGTATATACAGAAGCAAAGTATTCATATTTTCCAATCTTCCCAACACCATCAGTTAACTTTTGAAAAATAGACAATAAAACCAGCATATAAATGTTTTTGCAAAATGAATAACAATGTTCAAAAGTAATATAGTAGAGAACATAAAGCTGTCCTAAAATTACTAGTAATAAAAGAGGTGATTGATATTCAGGAATAGGGTAGGGATGAAGAAAGAGAATGTAAGACAGCAAAAGACAAACGTGGAATTTAGTTCACTGAAATATGTGCAGTTGAGTGAAGAGGCTGATTTTGCTAGAGAAGTAATTTGGTATTATGCAATATCAAGCAGCTTAAAACACAGCATAAATTTGTTAGTTTGGGAACCAGAGGAAAGAGTTGATCAATTGAGAGATATGATCAGATTCTCTCCAATGGGAATTTTTAAAAAAATTATTTATTTTTGATGATGTTTACACAGTTATTTAGGATGGGAAGGATCGAGGTTCAGGGGAAAGTGAGTGTGGTCATTGTTACCAAATTTTCTATTTCTCCTTCCTGTTTCTGGGGAAAGGGAGGAGAGAAGAGGAAAAGCTAACTCAGCTTCCCCACCATCCAAATACCTGGGGATGGGGAATGGCCACCCAATATCAACTCAGGGTCCTGATGTGGCATGCACTCCAAGGGTTCCACCCAGGTGGGTTCAATAGTTCTAAATGCTATCGATCTGGTTGACCCAAGGATGAGGAAACCCTCCCATGTCCTTTGGCTGACACAGTTGACCTTACAGTCACCATTCCTCCAGATTTTGTTGTCATTGTTTGACTGGAGTAGTTGTTTAATTTGTTCTGTTCTCCTTGCTCTGTTATAGTACTAAATGTGCTATGGAATTATCAATGGGATGCTATATCTTCCATGTTTAGCATGGCCTTTATTTATTTATTTACTTATTTATTTATATTATTGGAAGGGCAGATATACAGAGGGAAGAAGGGATAAAGATCTTTCCTCCAGTGTTTCATTCCCCAAGTGTCTATAATGGCCAGAGTTGAGCTGATCTGAAGCCAGAAGTCTGGATCTTCTTCCGGGTCTCCCACACGGGTGCAGGGTTCCAAAGTTTTGGGCTGTCCTTGACTGCTTTCCCTGGCAACAAGCAGGGAGCTGTATGGGAAACGGGACCGCCAGGACATGATCTGGTGCCCATATGGGATCCTGGCACATGCCAGGGGAGGACCTTAGCTACTTGGTTAGCATGCTGGGCCTAAATGATATTTGTAATTTACTTTCTTATTACAGCATCATACTATTGACAGGAAATTATTGAAATCCAACATATTTTTTGAATGCATTTTTTTTCCAGCTCTACGTGATAAATTTCATTGGCTCAAAGGCTGAGGTAATATTAGCAAAAGTTGCATACAACACATCTATTCTTAATACATTTTTGTTCCTTGAATATAGAGGAAGTGACACTGTTTGTTGGTGAGGGGGGAGGAGAAAGGCAAACCAGAATGATGGGAGAGCTGCAATGATAATAATTAAGTGTACTTATTGTTATTCAGTTGCACAAAAAAGGTTTTAAGTCAAGTCTGATTATGAAGTCTGTGTTCTTAGCAATGCTTAACATATCTTTATCATCCCAAGCAGCTTGTTTATCCATTATTTGTTAAAATCTCAGATTGTCTGTACCATTGAAAAAGAAAAAAAATGACAGATATCCTCCACTGACTTGAAAATATTTAAGAACATTTGTTTTTTAAGACACATAAATGAAACTACACAGCAGAAAGTAATTAAGATAAGAAAAATCAATGTTTATAGCAATTATTTATGAAAATAATAATTGAAAATGGCCTAAAGTTAATATTAAAGAATGAATATATAATCATAGAATTACATACAGAATTACAAGTTTTTGAATAAAAACCTTTAGTGACATTTAATCAGCCATCCTAGGGAGTTTAGTTAGAAATAGCAACAAAGAAGGTACACGAAATAATATCATGTTTTCTCTGTAACACAAATGATATATTTAAACAATATCATACATTACAGGTGTTCTCTATCCTATCGCAGGACATAACATTTCAATTATGAAAGAATCAGAATGTCAACACAACAGTAGCCCAACACTGTGACCATGATAAATAGGACCAGCTATTATAAAAAAGGGTAAAATGGAAAATATTGTCAGACATGTATTTTACCTGAGCCATCACTCTAGTATTTTATGATAGTAGGAGACTTTATTCCTTAGTTAACTGTGCCAGTCTCTTCAACAATGTTTGCTGTCCTGCTGACTTATTTTGATGGATAAAATTCTTTCTTCACAGGAGATGGAAGACTTTGTGCAGAGCTCTGGAGAAGAGGGAGTTGTGGTGTTTTCTCTGGGCTCAATGATCAGTAACATGACAGAAGAGAGGGCCAATGTGATCGCATCAGCCCTTGCCCAGCTTCCACAAAAGGTCAGAAAGAGTGCTCTAATGGTAGACTATTACAGAAATGTCCCACTGTGAAAGCTAGCTAAGCTAAGATGAAAGATAATATTTTTCTGAGATAATGGTTTAAAAACAATTTACTTTTCAGGTGCTGAAATAGCAAAGTGACTATGTGTAACTTGGTATTTATATATGATCAGAAAAGTAAGTATCGAATAAATGCAGGATCAGTTTCACTATCATCATGACATTGCAGGCAGGGATTGAGGAATCATCAAAATCTGCAATTTCATTTGCTTTTTTCTTTGTTGAATTGTTAATAACACTATATGCACTAAGATGGTTATGAAAACTATAATGTGATTGCTAACTGTGGTAGTAAGATATAATTGAGCAGATTTTGAAATCAAGATGTGAGGTGAAAGATGTAGTTTAGGATGCCAATGCAATCTGATTCTTCATCTCTAATTTAGGATTAGTCCTGTTCTAGGTACTGTTGAGAAATCTGTTAGAGAAAAAAAAAATCAAGGTTCATTAGCTCAGACCCCAGGTTAAAAGATAAAGCGTGAAGAGGGAATGTAGACAGAAAGACAAAAAGAGAGAGAGAGAGAGAGAGACAGACAGACAGACAGATGGCTTTCCAGAATTCAAAGCAAAGCAGTGTAAGGGAATGAGTGAATACAGATCCATTCTAAGGATGGACATGAGGCGTTTTACAATGTGGCCCCAATGGACTGTTACTAATTGAATAAATTATTACCTCCTCCAGATTGAGAAAGGAGAAAGAATATAGGAAGAACTCTAGAAGAAGAGTTCATATGTCCCCTCTCTAAAATGTTTGGTACATTCTGATTTTCTAAAATATATGTTAACTTTGATCATCAGATATATATTAGTTTTACAGTAATCTTGTTATTTATCTATTTTGCTGGGGATTTCAAATTACTTCTACCACTCATACAGTCAATTAAATAAGGTGGATTACACTCCCATTTATAAGAATAACTTGGGAATTCCAAAATCAGTACCTTATTTTGGCACCAGGTATATGAATAATCTGACTATAGCAAAAATGAATAATCTTGGCTGTCAAAGATTGCAGTCCATCATGAAGAGTTAAAAATAGTTGAATAAAATTTAGCTTGAAATTTTTCTCAGCCACCATTTTACTGATAACTAACTCCGTGTTCTAATTTAAAGAAGTTTAAAGAAGTTTCCTAATCTAGCAGCAATATTAATTATCTACATTAATTTAAAAAATGCTGCTTAAATTGTGGGTGTTGTGATTCAATTGGTTAAATCTGTTCTTGGAAGGCCCTCTACCTATAATGGAGAATTTATGTTGGAGTACTGCATTTCTCCCTTTCTCTTTCTAAAGGTCTGTTTATTTATTTGAAAGTCATAGTTACAGAGAGAGAGAGAGGGAGTGCCAGAGAGAGAGAGAGATAAATCAAGAAATGAAGAGACACACAGAGAGAAAGGGAGTGAGAGATCTTCCATTCACTGGTTCAGTCCCAAAATGGCCACAGCTGCAGGGGGCCGGGCTAGGCAAAGGCAAGGTCCTGGAAATCCATCCAGATCTCCTACATGGGTATCTACTTACATCAGCCTCTGCTGCTCTGTCAGGCACACAAGCAGGGGATGGATCAGGATCAGAGCAACTGGGACTTTCACAGATGTTTCATTTGGGATGCTAGGGCCACATCTGGAACTTCAACCTGCTACACCATAACACTAGACTCCTGCCTTACTACTGATCCATCTCCCTGATTATGCATAATGGAAGATAATCTCTCAGGTGTGTGAGCACTGCCTCTTTCCACATCGCAAGCTAAAGTGGAAATCCTTATGCTTAGCCCAATCACAGCTGTTGTAGGCATTTGAAGAGCGAGCCAGTGGACAGTATGTCTGCCTCTTTCTGTGTGTCTGCTTTTCAAATAAGGAATTAAGCAAATATATTTAAAAGTTTATATAACTGCTACTGAGTTTTAAAGATTTATTATTATTATTATTATTATTTATTGGAAAGGCAGATATACAGAGAGGAGAGACAGAGAGGAAGATCTCCCGTCTGATGATTCACTCCCCAAGCCAGGAGCCTCTTCCGGGTCTCCCACGCGGGTGCAGGGTCCCAAAACTTTGGGCCATCCTCGACTGCTCTCCCGGGCCACAGGCAGGGAGCTGGAAGGGAAGTGGGGCTGCTGGGATAGAACCGGCGCCCATATGGGATCCCGGTCGTGCAAGGCGAGAACCTTAACCACTTGCGCCACTGCGCCGGGCCCTACAATTTTAGTCCTTAATGATACTATAAAAATTATGAATTTTTCACTCATCATCACACTTAATTAACGCACTATAGTGAGCCCTCTTGGTTATGTTTCATGCCTGCTCAGTTATAAATACTCCTAGAAATTTTATTCTATCCACCTCAATTTTTTGGCAGCTGTAAATAATTAATAACCCCCCTATTCTCCTTTCCTGATCTTTTCTAGGGAAGCCATTTAATTAGGTGGTCTCTCAGCCCCTTTACAACTCTGAAATTCAACTCTGAAATGGATGTATTTTTTTCCACTTAATAGGTTCTGTGGAGATTTGATGGTCGGAAGCCAGATACCTTAGGATCCAACACTCAAATCTATAAATGGATCCCCCAGAATGACCTTCTAGGTAAGACCCTGGAAAAGAAATGCTGTGACATAATGAGTAACAGTCAGTTAAGATAGTAGTAAGAAAGAGTATGACCACTTGTTATTGAGAAATTCAGTATCAAACATCTATAAATTATTATCTAATATTATAAATTAAATGATAATAGTTGACATGTTATTAAGCAGAAATCCCTTGTGTCCATTATCCTTAATTTAAGTAATATTATCTAACACACAGAGTTTCCCAATGCCTTTTTTGCTAAAGGGACACTTGGAAGAAAAGTTCAGGTGTCTCTTTGGACACTTCTGTCCTATGTTGTTGTAAATTGGTTGAAATCCCACTTCTGTTTCTTATTGGAACTTCCTGTTAATGTGCGCCGCAAGAGGTGGCAGGTTCAAGTCTTTGGGTTTCTGTTATCCACAATGCAGACCCAGATTGAGTTCCTACCTTCTGCCTTGATGCTGCCAATCCTTGCTTGTAGGCATTCAGGTAGTGAATCAGCAGATGGACATTATCTCTCTCTGTCCCATATTCTCTGAGTCTGCATTTTGAGTAAATGAACTTCTAAAAATAATCACAACAATTTCCATGTTATCTCTGTTGATGACAATAGTTACTACTTCTGACTTTTCTCTTAATACAGAAATTCAAGTGTTACTAACAAATAGATCTTTGATTATGATCATATATTCATTCAAGTTTATGTCACACATTTCCTTTTTCATGTGGCTTTCACTTACCAATCTGATATACTTAACTGTTTATTTTTCTTAATCTGAAAGCAAACTAAAAGCAGTTTTATGGATATCATCAACTACTCTGCATTTCTCACTGAATTTTTCAGGTTTATTTAACAATTTTACTAAACATCTTTCAACCTAGGGCACCCAAAAACCAAAGCTTTTGTAACTCATGGTGGAACCAATGGCATCTATGAAGCTATCCATTATGGCATCCCTATGGTGGGTCTTCCTTTGTTTGGGGATCAACCTGATAACGTTGCCTACATGATGGCCAAAGGGGCAGCTCTCAGACTGAACTGGAGGACAATGTCAAGTACAGAACTGGCCAATGCCTTGAAGACAGTCATTAATAACCCTTCGTGAGTATCACCTTCCTTAAAACAACATAATATTTATATGTAGTCTTCACAAAAATGTCAAGGGGGCATCACTTTATTTTGAACATGACCATAAGCTTGTTTACCAGTTTTCTTAACTCTGGAAAGCAATAAATAATAAATTATTGTCTCACAATCTTTTTTTAAAATTAAGTTTGGTAAAAGCACTTGTCAGTGAAGATGAAAAATGAAAGGATTAAAGCACAGCATTCAGCAAGCTCACAATGAAGTATGAAAGGGTAAATGCTTTATGAGAACTAGATTACTTTCAACATAATTGTGACTTGCTTCCAGCATGAAAACCACCCCCAAAATTTAATTTTCATAATAAACTATGGTCGGCATCTTTTTTAACGTTTGGTTTTATTATTTTGTTTTATGACACAGTTTGGTAGGCACTGGTGTTCACCCTGCTCTAAGTTTCCTCCCCTCCCCACTGATTTCCTCTTCAGTTTTATGATGGATGTCTTTCATGAACTGTCATAACTTCATCATGCTGCTACTGAAGTGTATCCCAAAGGTGTAGGCATGGACAATGTTGGAGAGTCCAACATCCAACTGTCAGGACATTATCAGCCATTTTTCTTGAAGTCCATTCTTGTACTGTATGCATGGATACCTACAACTCTCTGTCTCCACCTTTGAACATATCACTTTCTGCTACACTTTCATTATGCATCTCCTAAATACTGAACCAGTGTACACAGTCTGCCATAGGGAGAAAAATAGTAAAATTTCACCTACATGAAGAGATACTAATACACACATACATGCATGTACGTGCACGTGCACACACACACACATACATACAAACAACAGGACTAAATTTTAATCTTTCAATATTAGCTCTGAACACAAATGGTCCATGCTCATCAATCAAAAGACAAAAATTAGCAGAATGGATCAAAAAGCAGCATCCGACTATCTTTTGCCTACAACAGATACATATAATCAAGAAAAAGGCAAGGAAACTGAAAGTGAAAGGATGGAAAAAGACATTTCATGTCAGTGAATGAATATTAGATGGTTTCTATGATATAGACTTCACAGTGAAAAACATTAAAAGAGATAAACTGGAGCACGACGTAAGGATAAAGGGAGCCATTCACCAAGAAGAAGTAACAATAATAAATATTTACATGCCAAACACAAATGAATCTAGCCATATGAAAAAATTATTGATGCACTTAAGGGGAGACATAGATGTCAATATAATCATAGTGGGGAGTTTTAGCACCATGTTAACATTGGTAGATCAATGCGACAGAAACTCAGCAAAGAAACAACAGATCTCACACAGACAATAGAATAAATGGACTTAATAGATATATACACAATCCTCCATCCTATAGACATGAAATACACATTTTTTAGAACTGTACATGTAACCTCCAGCATTCACAAGATAGATCACAAAATTATTCTCACTGTCTTCAAAAAACTTGCAATCATACCATATATCTTATCAGACCACCATGGTGTGAAACTAGGGTCCATTTATCTTGGAAGATGAACAACATTCCTCTGTATGAACAATGGGTCAGAGAACAAATGAAAGAAATCAAAAAATTTCTTGAAACAAATTAATATGCAAGTACAACATACCAAAGCTTGCGGGATAATGCGAAGTTAGTGTTAAGAGGTAAATGTATTACAATTGCTGCTTATATCAAGAAACTAGAAACACACCAGACAAACGAGCGAAGTATACATTTGAAGGAACTAGAAAAACAACAGTAAAATCATCCCAAGAGAAATAGAAAACAAGAAATAACCAAAATAAGAGGAAATAAACCAAATAGTGATCAAAATATCAATATATAAAATCAGTGAATCAAAACATTGGTTGTGTGAGAACATAAACAGAATATATAACCCACTGGCCCAACTGACAAACAAATTTTCAAATTAAATCTAATGATAGAGGAGGAGGGAACTATTTAAAAATACAGGTATATTATTTAGCTCACATGTTAATTTTGTTATTTGTGTGGAAGATAAAAATAGTTGATTTCAACAGTCCAATTTGACTTTCACTGATTAATGAATCAAATCTTCAAAAAGAGAAAAATTGATGTCCATAAATTTTCAGTGTATAAGTTAACTTCAGTAATGTTGCTAGTATTATGACTTTCATACCAATGGTAATATGTTTATCTATATGTTTGTGTAATATATATATATATTTATATATATCCATTGAATTCAAATGGAAATTAAACATTGTACAAATATGCTAATAATATTAAAGTTGATACACTTTAAATTACATACATTGTCAAACGTATCACTTCCCTTGTTTGTATAAGCAGCTTTAAAAACACTATTGCTTTTCATTTTTGAATTTGAACATGTCTCTCATTTGAAGATTTAATGCAAAAACAAATGATATAATTATACTATAACTAGCATATGTAATGCTGAGAAATGAAGAAAATATTTAAATTCCTAGACATAGTTAATATATGTGATAATGACACTTTTTGAATAAAAAAGAGTAATTACCTTCATTTCTTTTCCTTCCATGCCATGTTATAGACTTTGATGTTTAGATTTGATCAGAAATATTCTTACTTGAACCCTTTAACTATTTAATTCATCATTTCAATGTTAGGCAAAAATGAAATTACAGATTATCAAAGGAAAACATTAAGCATTCTAGATTCTGAGATCAGAAAAGTAAGAACAATTTGTTTACTAATGACCTATTTTTAGGATAGGAATAATTGAAATTATTCTAAGAATCAAAACACTGTTGCTCACACCACTAAACAAGAAAGGTACTACTCCGAACCCTGCTACCTTGGGATGAAAAGGTTAGGATAAAGAAATGTTTAAAAGTGTGAAGGCATTTCCCATGTCAGAATTCAAAATAAGGCAACTTCATTCTTTGTAATTTTAATTTTTAATTAAATGCTAAAGATGAACTTCCTAATTCCGGTGAATGCTAGCTTTATCAATTTTGCCATGACATGTGTCCAGGCTTTGTCAAAGACTTACCTTTTACATCTAAATTTTGATATTATTTTAAACATTGTATATAAATTTAATTCATAATTCTTACTGTGTAATTCAAGTCCACATAAGCAAAGATATATTTGTGTGTGTGTGTGTGTGTGTGTGTGTGTGTGTGTGTGTGTGTGTGTGTGTGTGTTTTCATCACATTTGGGTTACATAATGATCCAAATTTCTATCATGGAATGTTAGAAATTATTTTTGTCTTCAAATTTTCTCTCTATACATACTGAAATTATATGGGTCCAAAAAAATCTTGTCTACCAAGTAAAATCTGAAATAATCACAGAAGAAAATAACCTTCTCTTCCATGATTAGGTGACATTCATTTCATTAGTTTTATTAATAGTTAACTTATCTATAAGTTTATTTCATTCTATAGTTTGTCATTTATTTTGTTTTTCTTCAGCTACAAAGAGAATGTCATGACATTATCAAGAATTCACCACGATCAGCCCATGAAACCGCTGGATCAAGCCATCTTCTGGATTGAGTATGTCATGCGTCACAAAGGAGCCAAACACTTTCGGGTTGCAGCCCATGACCTCACGTGGTACCAGTACCACTCTCTGGATGTGATTGGGTTCCTGCTGGCCTGTGTGACAATCATTTGTTTCCTTGTCATAAAAACTTGTTTGTTTGTGTGTCAAAAACTTATAGATGTGGGAAAGAAGAAAAAGCAAGATTAGATCTATTTCTTATCCATGGTTAACAAGAAAGAAAGAGAAAGGAATGAAGGAAGGAAGCAAGCAAGGAAGGAAGGAAGGGAGGAAGGAAGAAATGAAGAAAAGAAAGAAAGAAAGAAAGAAAGAAAGAAAGAAAGAAAGAAAGAAAGAAAGAAAGAAAGAAAGAAAGAAAGAAAGAAAGAAAGAAAGAAAGAAAGAAAAGGGGAAAGAAAGAAAGAAAGAAAGAAAGAAAGAAAGAAAGAAAGAAAGAAAGAAAGAAAGAAAGAAAGAAAAGGGGAAAAGGAAAAAAATCCAAGACATACTGGAATATCACATTATTGGTTTAGTGGTGCAGGAAGATTTGGTGCGCATGATCAGAAACAATCCTTCATTTGACTAACATGCAGTAAGCAAAATACATGTATTATATGAAACAGACTCAGATTCTGGTTAATGTTGGCAGGGAACTCAATTCAGACTACAGTAGTATGTAAAACAGTGTCCTGTGTGTAATAACCTCAACATCAGCTACTTATTTTAGAGAAAGAAGAATTAACTATTGCCTAGCAAAGATGTGCATTCTCCCAAAGGGATCAGTGGATATTACAGCAATTTAAAAATTATTAACTGATATGATAAGGTAGGGTACACAATTTACATTTTTCCATTTGGCAGAATTACATTTTCTAGAGCAACGACTGAGCATGGAGACCTAGCCCAAATTATTGCCACAATTTATTTAGATGGAAAAAAGATTACACATGGTGCAGTCTCTTAGCATTGTTTACACATGCTCTTATTCCACATGAAAACTGAAATTCACATGATTCATGAAGTATTAAATATATATTCAGTGATTTAAAAACAAAAATTAAATGTTAGCTTGTCCCCTACTTCAGTCATTTCATTGTATTAAAATATATTTAAAAAGTGAAAGATATTTTCCCCATGAAACTATAAGTATGCTTGAATTGAAGTTCTTCATTTATTGAATTATCCTATGTAGCTAGATAATATGCCACACAAAATGAAAGACCACTTCCCTTAAGGATGACAAATTCAGGCTAAGATGTTTATTCTACTCTCACTGTAATGTGAGGTTTTCACTTCCATCCTTTACAAGCTCCCATTTTTTACCTTAACCTCTGACAACAGATGATTTCTAATTCATATAATACCTGGGATTCCTAAAATGATGAATGTATAATAAATTCTATGTATTGTTTCCTAATAATACACAGGGGTGGAAGTAGCCAATAAAGTTCTAAACTTCTGCAACAAATTTTAAAAATATCCTAGATGATTTAAGTGGAAAAACGCTCACATCTTGCCTTTAAAACTATTAAACATGTCATTCATAATCAGAACACACACTGTAAATGAAACAGAAAAAAATTAAAGGGTAGTATTTTTATTTGATGACCTCTGCATATTTATATAGCCAGTAGAAAAGGAGCAATAATTACAATTTTTCAAAGCAAGGAAGATATTTACAGACCTTTTCTACAATATTAAATTATTTTAAGCAATATTTACTGATGAAATTAATTAGGAAATAATTTTCACTAAAAAGAATAAACAATCTATTAAACTTTGAAAATATAATCAACTCAGTATAAGTAAAATATGCAATAAATAGTTAAGTAGAAAGAAATACAAATTATTACTGAGCTTTAGCTACATTAATTTATTTTAAAATTAGGAAACCTAATACATATCCACTATTATGAGGCAATAATAAAGCTTTAAATGCATCTACAAAGCTAAATTTCAGTCTATTGTTGTTTTTTTCTTAATGAAATAACTTCTGAAAATACATGAGGGTTCAATGTAAACATGGAGATATGCTTGGCAGAGAATCTTGAGGATTCCATTATACATCAAATCCCATGTGTTTTCTTCTTCCTCAGTATTGACTCTTGTTTCAAATGTTTCAGGCCTCAAGCATTTTGAAGGAACAGACATTGTGATGAGAGACTAAGGTTCAGTTCAGATGCCAGTTTCCCTTATTGAAGTGTCTGGGACTGAGTTCTACCTCTTCTTTCAAACCAGCCCTCTGCCAGTGTACGTGAGAAGCAGCACGTATGGGCCACATAACTTGGCATGTATAACACATGTAGAAGACTTGGAGGCATTCTTGGCTCCTCCTGGCTTTGGTTTGCATAGTTCAAGCTGTTGGGGGCATTTGGACAGTGAACCAGTGGATAGAAAATTCTCTTTTCTTCTATCTATCAGATGAAAAATAAATAAAACTTCAAAAATATAAGAACAAAAATAATCAATGTGATTGCATGGAATGACAGAACTAAGGCAATATTCTTTATGTTTTTTATCTCTGATAATTTTTTTAAAAATCTCCTTTTTAAGGATTGATTTATTTTTTGATTACAATATCAGATTCACAGAGAAAAGGAGAGACAGATAAGAGGTCTTCCATCTGCTGGTTCACTCCCACAAGTGGCTACAACCTCTCGGGTTTTACTGCCAGCAGGCCCTGAGACCACAACTAGTTTGAGGTGACAGTGGCCACAAGAACTAAAGGGGAAGTCTGATGGAACATGTCTGTTTATTGTAAGGTGAGCACAAACTTTTATAGTCTAGGAAAGGGGAAGGCAACAATGACACTGCAACAGGCAAGAAGGTATGTCTATCTCTCTGGACCCTCCAACCAAGTCACAGCTCACTTCTGCACTCATGGCTGGAAGCTATGCCTCAGGTCACAGGTAGATGGAGCATGAGTCATGTATAACACATAGACTGGAAGATATGCCTCAGATTACATTCACCACATGTGGTTCTGTGGGTCACATGACTTCTTTAGAGTTTACCAAGGAGGTCCCAGCAGAGCTTGTCCAAGAGAAGACAGATTGGGGTGCAGGTCACTATTCTCACTGCATGCCCAGTGCACAGGCAAGGTTGAGGTCTCGGTTAGCTGAAACTATGGTCAGGGGGTTCCCACCAGACATAGTGTGCTATGTGTCAATGACCTCCTACATAGGCTAAGCAGGCAGAGATCCAGTGACTATCTCTCACATCTTCCACTCTGCTTTTGGAATGAATTCTTCCACCAAGACTTTCACCAAAATGGCAGCTTTCTGTTCTGATACCCTAAGATGTTGAAATAGACATGGGAGAACAAAATTCAACACAAGAACACCAGGTGTTATTGCACTGCACTGCAGGCAGATTCCCTGTCACCAAAATGCTAATTGTTCTAGATGCAAGTCCAATTTCTGTTGGAGAGCTAGGGTGGTGTATCTGTAAGGCCATAGGTAGTTTGCACAGTTATGTTATATTCAGTTTTTGCATTCCGGATGGTCTGAGTCAAGAACAGCATAGACTTTGCAGTGGCAGCCACCATGGTCACGAGGGAGACAGCAGTGGTGATGATGAGGCCAAGTGCATGAAAGGGAGGATTTTGTCATGTGCTTGGTCCCACAGTCCCTTCCACTTTCATTTAGTTGAACTGGAATTCATACCACTAGCACTGTGCTTGTTACGAAGCTTTCAAAAGACATACTAAGCCACGTATAATTAAATAACACAAGTGGTGAGATGCAAAATGGAAATAACACTAACATTAGTAAAGTTTATGTGATTCCAAATGCGCAAGTGGTCTCTTCAAACTACATATGGGACTGAGGAGGCCACACACTGTGAAAAGGTTAACCTAACATTTTGCAGCTTAAGGGAGGCAAGGGCACATGGGAACAGAAAGATAAGTAAGGCTTCGTACATAGTACATGATCTCTGGATATATTAAGGTATGTTAATCCATAAAAGAGAGCTGAAATCCTGAGACATTAAGACTTTGTCAGTATTGAGCCCAGTACAGTAGCCTAGCAATGAAAGTCCTCACCTTGCATGCCCCAGGAACCCATATAGGCACTGGTTCTAATCCTGACAGCCCTGCGTCCCATCCAGCTTCCTGCTTGTGGCTTGGGAAGCAGTCAAGGATGGCCCAAAGCCTTGGGTTCCTACATCTGTGTGGGAGATCTGGCTTCAGATTGGCTCAGCTCTGGCCATGGCATCACTTGGAAAGTGAATCATTGGACAGAAGAAAGATCTTCCTCTTTGTCTTTCCTCCTCTTTGTATATCTGACTTTGCAATGAAAATAAAATAAGGACAGTCACTGGGCTTGATGCACCAGTCCTTTACAGCATCTCCCTTGTCACTGTTTTTGGGCATGCTGGTCTTCTCCTTTTCTGTTGTCTTTTGCATGGTGGATCTTTCAGGACAAAGTTCTGAAGCTGTCTTGTTGGAGGTGCATCTTCTGGTAGGGGGCACCCAGGAATCGACATTGAGGGCAGGCACCCATGTAGGTTGTAGCTCAACTTCTGGGAAAACATGGGCAAACCATCTTCTCACAGTAAGCAAGGGTTTGGGGCCTTTTCACTTTTGGGTGGCTGGGTTGCTCCATAGAACTGAAGACATTTGTGCTGTACATTAAAGAATTTCCAAATGGAGCACAGCTGGCAGCTTGCTGGAGGAGGAAATTTGAAGAAAATTGATGGTGAATAAAGCCAAATTAACGTGTTCACAGGGGTTAGTATATTCTCTCCCCCTCCACCCTTACACACTGCTTCTCAATAATATTTTTAAGACCTTGGTGTTTTGTTTCAACAATTCCTTGACCTTGAGGATGGTAGGGGAAGGCTGTGCACATTTAATAACTGTTTTCAAGGGTTTTAAGGGATACCTATAAAAAATTTAAGTTCTATGAACCAAAGAATTTTGTGTTGATTTAGCAATCTTAGTTCAAGATAGAATAATAAATCAGTTTTAGCAACAATTTAAGATGTTTAGACACTTTTAAGAAATATAACCAATTGATTAGAATTACTTTCTATTTTTAGTAACACAGGTTTGTTATATTTTTAGATGGTTTGCAAATGTAGGTAGAATGGAATACAAAACTTATAGATGATGAGAAAAATTAAAAAAAAATCTCAAACAGTTGTGGTTAAAACCACAAAACTCATTAACTAACAAGAAGAGGCACCTGTTTATTACATGTGGTATT